TCCCTTTGTCAAATATGCTAAGTCATATTCATGAAAGTTATAAAAGAGATACAATCCCTAAGGAAGGGTTGGCATTGATTATTAAAAGGGGCATATAGACATGTTCAAGGTAAATTTCCTTAGGCTTGAGTGTCACAGTACAGAACACTGATAATATTTTTCTAGGGTTCTTAATGTACTGCCACACGCATTCAATGGACCATCCCAGGGCACACATAGGAAGGAACAAATCAGAAAGGGCCAGACGGGACAGGAGATGCAAGGATGGCAGGGAGGATGAGGCTATTCTTTGATTGCTGACTGAGGATAACATATCAGCCTCCGTTATGGAAGGGCCTCCCAGCAGCAACTGGGAGATTCTGGTAATGAAATCACATTGTGTAGGGTTCTGGCAAGACGTTTCAAGTGCACAGTTACAACGTATGGAGGCGTTCATGAGGAGGCACATACCTTGCTTCACAGCACTGGTGTTTGTTGATCTCCCTTTCATCAATTGCTGGTGTGCTAGACTCCCTATGGAACCATGAACTTCATGGGGACAGGGACTAGGTGTTACCTGCATCAAACACTTGGTCCTGATCCAGGCCCACTGGATGGACCTGGTGATGGGTGTTTGACAAACCCTGTCGGTGAACCTTATTAAAACCTTCGGGACTAGGAGACAAGCGTCCAGTGAAAGGCTCTAAAGTGCCTCTCCTGATAACGCTACCTCTTTAGAGAAAATTATTGTGCATTGTCAGATGATATGGATTTTCATAAAGACAATTTCAGAAGTGTTCTAACTAGATTTTACTGTCCTGTATTTGTTTTTGAAAGCAGCAATTTGGTAACATTTATAAATTATAGCAGAATAAATGATTTCCAGACCTCTAATTGTGACCTGAGCAGGACCTGAAAATACTGTCTCATTGTGAAATATCATGGAAAAGAATGAATTTGTAAGATGCATAATGGTCGAATGGTTTTATTACTCTTTATATGACAAGTTTGTGGAAAATGGCAAATGATACTTTTAGTTTATATTCTGCTATAACAACAACTGATTATTTCTAAAGATTAAATTGCTGTGTAGCAAGATGAAATGGGCTGTGTGGTCACTTCCTTACAGAAGCATCTTCTAAGAGCAATTTTTAAATGTGTGAGCACAGCTAATTGAAGACTGAAGAGTAGATTTATTCTTGTAAGATCTATGAACAATGTCCGATGCTTTACAACTCTGGCTGTACAGAGGTATTGGTCTGAGCATCTTCATTTGGGATTTTGGCCCTAAAAGACAATCCAATGCATAAACAACAGGAACAGTAAAAAGCAAACAATCTGCCTTTTTAGGTTGCCAGTAAAGACAAGCAAGCAGCAGTGGAAAAAGCAGGTACAAAATATTGACAAAATCCCCGTCTCTTAAAGCGGAGGTTGATTCTCAAGGCTGATTATAGTTCACATATGTGGATATACACAACAGACACAGTTCTCCATAGTTCTTACCAGACCCTAGCTGTATGCATGCCAAGTTCTCAACACTTAAAGAACACTCCTACTAGCTGACATGACCCAACAGCTGCATCTTAAGAATTTATTACCTTCATCGTGCATGCCAGTGAACACAGTATTTCCTCAACTTCAGCCAATTTCCTACCACTGCCTTTACATACATTGTCATGACATGTCCTGGTTCTTTGGTTTTATTCATTACTTGGAACTTTTCTTTTGGCTTATTCCCTAAGTTAACTTGATATTAGTACTATACGTAGGAAGCCAGAACTTGCTAAAAGATAGTAGGCCCACATTTAATGTATATTAAAAATAAATGTATCACCAAGGCAAAAGCAGTTCCTCTGAGAGGTATTACATTTACCTTGAATTATATCAGTTACCTTGTCATAGTGTTCAGGGCAAAGTTTATGATAATGTAATAAGTAATATTTGTGCTTTTTCAAGATTTTACTTTTTATTTATGTGCATATGGTTGTGTGAGTTTGGGCCACATGTGTACGGGGCCCACAAGGAACAGAGAGGGGTCAGATCTCTTGGAAATGGAGGTATTAGCAGTTGTGAGACACCCAGTGTAAGTGCTAGGAACTGAACTTGAGTCCTTATGGTAGTGCAACAAGCCCCCTTGGTCATTGTACTATCTCTCTTGCCCCTGTAATATGATTTGCATAATAGTGTAACACGGAATGAGTTCTGAAAGCATGGACCTTGGACCAGGGGCACTGGAAACATGTAGGAACTCATTAAAAGGGCCAGTTCTCAGGCCCACTGGAAGTTGGATCAGAAATCTAGTGATGGGACCCAACAATCCATGTTGAGTTAAGGGATGAATTTATCAGAGAAATTCATAGCTCGAAGGTCAGAGAAAAAACACATTGGTTCCTTGCACTCTTATCAAATCACAGAAACACACAGTCAGGGGCATGAGTGAAATGGGAAATGTGGAGACAATGACGCTTGGGTTTGGGTGCGAGTCATTTTCATAAGTTGTCTGGGGACACGAGCTGCCAACATGTGTGCACTCCTGCTTCAAGGAGCCGCCACGGCTATGGGATGTTAAGAAATTTAGGTGCAGCATCTTTTGCCAAGAGAAGGGAGAAAAGAAGACCACACAGTCATAGGAGGCTTGTCATCTAGACCCTTTCAGGACCACTCTTTTTATCAAGCTCCTGCTCAGGGGAATACACCAGAAGCGTGTCTGGCCTGCTTTGCAAAACCCCAGACCTTGGTCATCTGCATAGATTTTTCTGATGTAGAATGCCCAGACTGCCACAATCTGCACAGCTTTGGGGTTGAGCTGACTGGGGAGATGAGGGAATGATAAAAGGACAGATAGACAGAAGCTGGGATCTGATGGGCTGAGCACTTTAATGGAGATGAACCAGCAGCAGCCAGGAAACTCAGCAGATTCATTTTATACATCTGAATTGCACAGGTGGGTTTGTGCTATACAGCTGAACAGGGAGGCAGTTTAGCTAACATCAGCAGATCTCTACAGAGGAGGAGGAAACCATCGTTTGGTACTTTCTAGACACTCTCTCAACATTTGCACTTGGACTGGGAAAAGACCTGGGTCTGAAGCACTGGGGTCCTTGAACTTATCATGCCTATATCAACAAAACACACTCGCTTAGGGTTCATCTGCTCCCCACACTGAGACTGTTAAATAGTTCCTCTACTGGTATAATTGAAAAACTTTGTCCCCAGTGTCCCCTGTGCTTTCTTTTGTCTTCTCCATGACACTGAAATGATGTGACAGAAATGTTCTAGAATGAGAACATTTTAGAAAGAATTGGGAAAGTACTTAATCCCACTACTCAGGTCAAATTAGAAATCTGAGGTTCAGATAAGCTGGAAGACTTGCCCAATTTCATACATGCAATGGCAGACAGAGTGAAAAAATCTGCGTCTTGGTCTTCAGTGAGAGATTACTGGAGAGATTTCTCAGTGGTTAAGAGCACTGGCTGATCTTCCAGAGGACCTTGGTTCAATTCCCAGTACCTGCATGGTGGCTCACAACCATCTACAATTCCGACTCCCTCTTCTGAACTCCTCACTCACTGGGAACAATATGTGGTAGACACATATGCATGCAGACACAACACCCATACATGTAAAACAGATAGCTAAAACATTTCTAATTTAATTAAATGAGGATCAATGCATGGGGTTACATTTTCAAACATGTAATATCCATCCTCCACACTTTACAAGCACATACAGAAGCATGTTATATGAGAGGTTCTTTAGGTTTTTCTTTAGGCTCCCACTTCTAGAAGTATTTTCTAAGTGTTTATTCTGCCTATGGAGCAAAGTTATTTATAAGTAACTTCTAAAGAGGACTTACTTGACTGGCCAGGATGATTTTTCTTCTGAATTACATCCTAATATGTATAGCTTTCCTACTCCCAGCTTATTCCACTTGGAGCTATGCCCAGCACAATTTATGTCTATGAACTGCTGAACATTTAAGCAAATTAAGTGTCCAAAAAAATCAAACACAAATTGTATCTTGGTGATTTATGCCTTCATAAAGCAAAACACATACAGTGTGCCGAGCACAGACCAGATTTATAGCTCTGTTGGTTAGGGAAAAATGAATGGCTACCTCCTAGAGTACATGTCAAGAACTCTCTCTCTCTCTCTCTCTCTTCCTCTTTCTCCCTCCCTCTTTTCCTCCCTCCCTCCCTCCTTCTCTCCCTCCCTCCCCACCCTGGTGTGTCGTGTGTGTGTGTGTGTGTGTGTGTGTGTGTGTGTGTGTAATCCTTGACTATGGGGGTTCCTGCTCCTGTATATTTATTTTACAGATGATCTTCAATGCTAATATGCAATGCGAGCCAAGAATAGGAAAGTCATGCAAGAATAAGAATTCTGGATAAAGATTTAGGAGCTAGTTAACTTTCACAAGAACAACAACAACAAAAAAAGAGGCACCTAAACAGTCTAGAATCATCTACCTGCAACTTAACACCTGCAGGTCATACCACTTTCTCTTGTTAGTGTAGGCTGAGAAATTTCACTTAAACACAGAGGGTGTGGGAGAGAGAGGAAGCTGCATCTCAGCACAGCTGATGTAAGCCACAGGCTGATCTGACACAGGTCTCTACTATGAAATTCCCAGCGCCTGTAGACTTCCCTGGGTCCTGAAGACAGCATGGGTAGCAGTCAAGCATATGTGTGGAGAAGTCAGAGAAACAAACTGAATCCCAACTTTGTTGTGTATGGAAAGTGAGCATCTGTGTCCTTATCTGTAAATGAGGGTTAACTGTATTTCCTTCCAAAGGGTATCATTTGGGTTAATGAGATAATGGATAAATTAGCACCTTAGTATTTCCCTGCTGTCCTCTTGATAAGGGACTGAACCTAGTGACTCCTCTCCCATGTATAAACAACGACAATGGCAAAGACATGGGTGTCACTTCAAAGATTATGGTACCAAAACAAAAAACAAAACAAAAAATCCTCTGACTTCTGTCTTTCTCACTTTTTTTTTTTGCTTGCTCTGATGAAAGACAATTTTCGTGTTATGAGACCTGTGGACAGACTCAGTGACCAAAGAAATGACAGAGGCATCTAACCAACAACAAGAACCTGAGACCCTTGGTGACTAGTCCATTCCCACTTAACTCTCTCTGCCTCATGGTTGTGTCTCAGGATGTCAGCTCTCAGCATCATGGCTACTGACATGTCCCCTGCTGTGGTGGTCACAGACTCATCCTCTGAAACTGTAAGCCCTAATAAACTCTTTCTTCCATAAGTTGACTTGGTCATGGTGTCTTATCACAGCAATAAAATAGTGTCCTATGCTAAAATAATGAACATAATGCTTTCCTCTTGAGTTGAGAGGAAATTATTATATTACAACTTGTCCCAATCCCAAAGTGCCCCCCGGTAAATCTATTCTTACTGTTGAGTTCAGACATTTCTATTGCAGTTCGCTAAGACTAAAATTTTAGGTAGCTGCAAAAGAGTCAATCTTAGAACTTGCTTAATTAAAAGTCTGTCCTTCAAGTCCTCCAAATGCTTTCTTTAATACTGAACAAAGTTATTTCAATGCAAGGTAAGTTTATTTTTGCTATCAAATTAATTTTTTAATTTAAATTCTATTTTTATTTATGTGTGAGTGTGTACCATGTGTGTGCTCATGCAAACCCCAGTGTATATGTGGAAGGCAGAGGACAACTTGGGGGAATCATATCTCTCACTCTACCAGATTCCTAGGTATCAAAGTCAGGTTCTTAGGCACAATGGCAAGCCATTTGCCTACTGAACCATCTCACTGACTCAAATGAAATTTATCCTGAAAAGAATAAAAAAGCAAAACAAACAGGGAAATGAACTTAAGTTAAATAATATCCATTGAGGCATTAACTACAAGCATGAATAAACAAAAATGGGATCACCTAAATGTCTAGCTGTAAAAGGCTAACTGAATGATTAACTGCATGTCCATGCACTAAAAACTATGCTTGCTGTTAGACATTTTTATAGAGATATTACCAAGCTGGAGAAATGATCAAAAATATTATGTAGAATAGCTGAACATAAACAAATATAATAGTAAGTTCTAAACTAAGTTTTGAGGAAAAGGCATATAATTATGTATTTGTGTGTGTGTTTATTTCTGATATAATAGTCTTTTGTGTCTCTGAGTGGTCAGAGCTTGGTCTCACAGCCTTATATAATTAGCAAACAAAATGAGTGGCCACGTTTTTAGAGAGAAATGAAATCCGAGCATATATTTTGATTACAGGAAATGCTAACGCTGGAGGAATTTGAATTTTTGCCAAGTGACTTCTTTACAGTTTTTCTTTTATTGGAGTCTTGTCTTATGTAACCCTTTGATAGAAAGGACAGTACATTTTGCTTCATTTCCCGCAGGAAGGCGCAGGTCCCACCTGCAAACAAGAGGAGCTTTCACTGTTCTCAGATGAAGTCCATGGGTAGGCATGCTCTACTTATGTATGTTTCCCAACAAGGAAAGAAGGAGACAACAGCCTGCACTTCAGCAGAAGGACTGAAATTAGCACTGGGAAACCATTTCATGGGGAGTAACTTGAGTCTCTGTCCTCGATGATCTTGTAAAAAGTCTGTGTGTCTGAATTACCAAATTGGTACGTGATAGACAAAACATACAAACCCCGGAAGTCCTGTGCACTTCATTTTTTGCATATTTGGGCCACTTTCTTTCCCAAAACTTAGTGTGAAGTCAGAGGGTGCAGATTATTTATTATATTTTAATTTATTTCATATGCCTGCGTAAGTGACTCTGTGTGTGACTCTGTGTGTGTGTGTGTGTGTGTGTGTGCGTGTGTGTGTGTGTGTGTGATGTGCCATGGAGCGTTGTGTAGGTCAGAAGACACGTGCAGGAGTTGGTTTTCTCCTTCCACCTTGAGAGTCTCTGGGTTTGCACTTGGCTCATCAGGCTTGTGGTAAGCACCTTCATGCACTGAGCTGTATCACTGTCCCAGAGGGCACAAATTAATGCTAGGATCACAAAAGAAAAACGCAGTTGGAAATCAAAATCTTATAAATGGATTAAATAATGTAATCCAAAAGCAAATGTAAGTGATTTAGTTTAACCACAGTTTGGGATTACCCATACCACTGCTCTATTAGTATGGGTAATTGAAAATTGACTCTGTAATCAATCCCCATTTCTTTGATTTAATTCAGGTGCACTTCTCAGCAGGGGCAGGGGAATGTACTCGGTGGCCATATGAAAGCCCATGTCACCTGAAGGACTTTTGGTTACAACTTAAACAAAATAAAAGATTGTTGAAACGGTGAAATTATTCAAGGCAACACAGTTAAATTTCCCCCTCTGATACCAATACGTTTTCATTAAAACTTAAATAAACTTTTTATTGAATCAGTATGAAATCTGTGTTCATGCTGCTTTGGTATTCTTGAGATCTTTGGAAAGAATAGAAAATAATACAGCCTTCATCTTTTTAAGGTCTATGTCACCATGATTGTAGCATGCTGATGTTCAACAGTCATTTACCATTACAATACTGACTCTACATCTCCATCTCATCATAGACCTTATCTTCCCATGGCAAATTCCATCTGAGTGACAGGTACTACCAGATATCATAGCCAAGGGGGACACTTAGGATCCATCGTTCACTGCCAGTACCCCTCAGGTATCACATCTGTGTATTACCGAGTCACCCACCATGTCACCAGAGACTCCCTCTTAACTATGTCTTCAAGCTCCATCCTCTCATCTGTCTGCCTCCATGGCTTCCTACATGTTTTTGGCTTCTGTCTCCTCCCACTAACCCATCTAGGCTGTGTGTGAGAGGCAAACTGTAAGGAGATCCTCCAATGATACTTCTAGCTTGTAGCTGTTCACTGAAAGACCACAGAGAATGTGGTTCTTAGAGAAACTAAACATAGATTGGCTGGTGCTTTGTCAAATAAACAAACCGCTCAAACTGGGTCTCATGACTGAATTCACTCCTTCAAAATGACAAGAAAGGAAAGGCCTGCCCATGGTTCAATCCCAGGACCACCAGCTTGTTAAAAAATGCAACTTCTTGGTCCCTTACCTCATCAGAACCCTCAGGAATCTGCTATAAGCTTTCCAGGTGATTTTGATACTCGTGAAATTTCAAGAACCGTTATCCTAAACAAATTTATTATAATAAACTTGATGTTTCTCAGTCCCAACATGGCATAGGGAGAAGCATCATAGCAGAGTTCCCACAGCTGCTGCCAAGCCACACTACTTCTCTAAAGCTCTGTGGTCTCCTGTGTAGGGTTCTCTTGTGCTGCCTCTCAGGTGGTGTCGGCAGGCAGGGTAGAGTCTTGAGCACTTATCACACAGAGCTTTTTAACTCTAACCACACCCACAGTGGTGGCAAACGGTCTGCACATGAGAATTGTATAAGTTCATAAACTCAGCAAAATCTATCTAACCCATAACATAAATCACCTTTACCGTCTTACCATCTACGCCACACCTTCAAGTTCTTCCCCAGAAAAGTACCTCGGAAGATGAATCCAGCTTGATCTCCCTGCTCTATACCTCCCTTTGACTTTAATTACCTCTGGTCTTTCTCAGGGCTCTGCTGGCAAGGAGGCCTTGTGAGAGGCACCTCTAGCTACCTACATGAGGCTGTAGGATGACACAAATCACTGAATTACATGCTTAAACTAGTTAAAGGACACATTTTTATGTCGCACATACTTATCACAGTAAAATAAAAATAAACAAATTAGATTTGGGGCTTATTTAGATATCCTTATATGCGCCTATGATTTCAACTTGCTTGTGTGTATATGGTTATTTGTATGAGGTTTTTGAAATTAACTATAGGCATCATATTAACACGATATTAATTGTTCTTCGAGGACCCAGATAGCCCAGTGTATGAATCAAAAGCCTTTCACAATCGTACACTTCATGATCACAGAACAAACACTAGGCCCCAAGCCACGCATCCTCCAGCACCCCAAGAATAACAAACAGTACGTTCTGTTCGCTTTGGATCCTGGCAGTCTCTCCAGAGTCTGGAACTCACATTAGCAAATGGCTCCTTGATCTTTTCACCATTCTGCAAGAGCAGAACTGAGGACAAACCACTCCTGGCGGTTCCTGCCACACCCACATCTCAGAGAGAAGATAAGGCCCAGCGGTGAGGGCTGGCAAGAGTGTTCCAGAGGTGACTGTGCCTGCCACCGTGCCTGAAGACCTGCGTTCCACCTCTGGACCTGACTCCTGTGAGTTGTTCTCCAACCTCCACAGGTAACCACGTTCGTGAACCACCGCCACCCCACACTAAAATTTAAATGTAGTAAGAGAAACAAAGGGTATCAGATCTTTAAAGGCAGGAGGGCAGGGACCAAGAGTAAGACACATGAAGACAGCCATGAAAATCTGAAAGGCAAAACATAACACTCATGAGTCAGGAAAGCAAAGTGGGCTGGGCACTGGAGATGCAGAAGCGCGGCGGAACCTTCTTCCCCGCCCCCTCGGTGGACGCTCCAGTTCTAGCCCATACCATCTGGAGCAGAGAGGGACGTGACGGTTCCAGTTGGGGTTCAAACTGTCCGTGACAGTTACGACTGTGGAGCCCACCTACGTAAGCAGTCCTCATCTGAGCCAGGCTCCACCGCACAGTCCCAGGCTCCATATCCACCATAAAACCAGACAGCCTAAAGTTGTTTTGTTTTGTTTCAATTTTTTATTGTTTTAGGCAGGGACTCACTGTAGCTCAGGCTGCCCACAACTCATGGCAATCTTCCTGCTCTGCTCTTCCATTTACTGGAACTACAGAGGTGAACTACCATACCCAGCTGTCTGCCAACTTTTATGCCAAATCGGCACGCCTTCATCTGTCCTCTACATCACCACCTCCTGTTCCTCAGTTTTCACAGCTATGGTATAAGTTAGGAGAAACTCTCATAAAGGTTTGCATGTTCCTCTAGGCTCCTGATCTGGAGAGGAAACGGGGAAGGGGTGCGAACTATAGAGGAAGCCAAAGGAAAATGATATTTCAAACGTATATTGTGCCAGCATGGTTTTTAGAACTTGTTTTTTAAGACAAAAGGGGGAAGTGGAGCACAGTTTTACTGCAAACATTTTTTTCAGTTTAGTAATGTCTATAGATTTAAAAACTAGTTAGTGATTCTGAGTTAAGCTATGTCTTACTGCCAATTAAGGACTAAGATTCCAGCCATGGCCCATGTGACAGCACACTGCATGTGACAGCACACTGCAATCCACCCACTGCGTCTGCTCTTCAC